TCCAGCAGTGCTCTGCAGGAACACAGGGATGTGGCAGCTTGTGTCCTTAGCACTGGTTTTAATTGTTCCCTTCTGGACAGAAGGGAAGGGCTTGGGCAGCCAGGTCATCAGCAAGCAGCCGCTCAGGTTTGTGTGAGTTGGGTTTGAAAAGAAAACCAGACACCAAAACCCAACAGGAAGCCAAGAGGAAGCCAAGGTCCCTGCTCCCCCAGCAGGGACACCCCCAGAGCCCCAGCCCTGGGTGGCAGGGCCAGGCTGGGCTGCAGGAGCTGCAGAGGCTCTGAGCTGCCCTGGGCAGTGCCCCTGGGCTCTGCAGCCATTCCCTGCCCAGGCACAGCCATTCCCTGCCCAGGCACAGCTCTGCCCTGGCTGCAGGCCCAGCAGGTGCTCCCAGCTCAGGCACTGCTGCTGGGTGGTCTGGTGAGTTAGTGCCACTCCAAACAGCTGCTAGAAATTGCTGGTATATCATGGGAAGTGCTTCAGTATTGTCCTTTGCATGAAGAATAGTCTCTTCCCTTTGTTCTGCCTTCATTTCAGTTTTTTTTTCCAGGCATAAATCAGCAAGATTACCTCTTTCCCCTTCCTTCCAATTCTTTAGGATGTAATTTGTTTTAATTAGAGCTTGTTTCCAGGTGCATGGTGGAACTAGGGATACCTCCCAGCTCCTCTCATGCCTCCCATTCCTCATGCTTATCACCTGTGGCACCTGTGAGCTCTGCCTGTGCCTGTGTGCTGCTCAGGGAGCTGCAGCTCTGTGTTCTCAGGCAGGTTCAGAGCCCAGGGGTTCAGCACTGCCCTGACCTGATGGAGATTCATGGGAAAGGTCCCAGTGGCCTTTGGCACAGGGCCTGTGCTGCTGCTGGGGAGCTCAGGCTGCTCTGACAGTGAATATTTGGGAATATGGGGAGGGCAGAGGCACTGCCTGGCCATTTCAGGAACTGTACAGGACAAACTCTTCAGCAGCACCAATCCATGCTGAGCTCATTTACACATCACTCCCCAGTGCTGCTGCTAAACAACACCCTGGTTCTGTTAAATCAATGTGAGCAGATACAAACCTTTGCATTGCGCAGTGGTTCCCAGTAATTCATTTATTTGAACCTGTGATCAGAATGCACAAAGGTGTCTGTCTTATCTGGGGGTGAGCAGGTGTCAGAGGTGCCCATGGCACCTGCCAGGCAAACGTTCCCCTCCAGGTAATTCCTGTGGGAGGAGAACATTTCCTTCCTTTGGCCGATTTTCTGTCACCTCCATCCAGCTCTGGGCAGGGGACAGCTCTGAGGGCTCTCTGTGGGCTTTGTTTTCCTTCCTCCTCTATAAACACGATGAAAGAACAAGTTGGTGTTGAAAAAGCCTTTCCTGTGTGTCTGTCTGAGCAGCGCTTCCTGCTGCAGGCTGGGGTTGGGACACGTCTGCTGGTGGCTGCTCTGGGGCAGCAGGCACTCACTGCTCAAATACAGCTTGGGGTTTTCACCCAGAACACAAAATTGCTTCTGCTTTTTTTTTCTTTTTTTTTAAAATTATTGCAGCACACAGTTACAACAGGTTTGAAATGAAGTTTAAGCGTACAAGGGGCAAGGATATTTTCTGGACATTAGGATACTATTTCTGTAAAAATAAATTAAAAGTCTTGCTTTAAAGATGAAGGTTTAGGACACAGGTGAATTCAGGGACTTGTTTCTCTTTTTCTCTTATTTAACCCAGGTTTGAGGCAGTTGTGGGGGTTTTTGGTTAAAGGTTGTGCAGCCTGAACGTGTTTGTCCCTGTTGCATTTTGGAGTGTGCAGTGTTTGAACATAAGATAATTTTGGGTTAAAATTCCAGATCCCCTTGGCTCAGTTTCCTGCCTCCCAACAGTGACCATAAACAGATGCTCTTGGCTGCAGTGCCAGTCCCTCTCAGCCCTGATAAACTGGTTTTTAATCTGCTGAACTTGGAGTGGAGTCATTTTGTTCTCCCCTGTTTTGTCCCTCTAAGATGGAACAAAATGATCCTTGCCAGATGTTTTTAGAGCTGCCTCTGAAGAGCTGGGGTCTTGTCTTTCATCCTGGGTTTGAATTAAAGGATTGTTTTTTAAAAAAACTCCTTTTCTTGGGACTTCCTTGGGAATTTCTATTAATTTTGCAGCAATCACAAGTATCTAGGAGTTGCTTTGCTGTGTCTCACTCTCTGTGGATGTAAATGTCTGGTCATTAACAATGGCTGGTTGGTCAGTGCCCAGTGTGGGACTGCAGTTTATAATTATTTATAACTCATGTATCTGACATGGGCCTGCTTTATTCAGTGCAGTGTTGGTGTTGGTACCAGGCCTCATACAGAGCCCCAAATCTCCTGGGATTCATTGTTCAGTGCTGCAGTTTGTTATTGCCTAATAAAAACAAAAATACAGCCCAAATCCCTCACTATCCTGGCCTTAGGATATGCCTTTCCTCTTTTAATCTTTGCCTGTATAGAAATAATGACCTTTTCAGCTGGTTTTGGGCACCTCCTCAGCTGTTTGAAAGGAGGTTTGTGGTTGGTTTAAAAACCTTCTTGTGTTGGAGCATCCCTGTAATTTAATTTGGGATCAGGTCAGTGTGCAGAGTCAGGGAGGGATGCCTGGGGTGGTTCTGTGGTGGCACAGAATGCTGTCCTGTGTGTGATGTGGGGTTCTGGTTTGGCTTTGGGCTTTGTTTGGGTTGTTTTTAACTGAATGGCAGCCCTGGGTTATCTCTGGGGCTGGGGCTGTTCCTGGATGGTTCCAGAGGATGGCAGAGAGCCCAGGGCAGGGCACTGAGGGCAGGGTGGCCACGGCAGCACAGATAAAGCCAGGCAGCTGCAGAGGGTGAGAAATGTGCATTTCCTGCAGGCAGCTCTGCTGCTGGGCCCTGGCAGGGGAAAGGGAGAGGTGGAAGGAGCAGCATTGCTGAGATCCCACCTTGGAGGTGATCCTGGCATTGCAGGGCAGTGCCCAAACCCGCAGGGCCCTGCCTGGGGCTGGCACCAGGGACAGGGCAGGGCAGTGCCCAAAACCCCAGGGCCCTTTGCCATGGCCCCAGCCTGGGCAGAGCCCTGCTGTGAGCTCCCAGCCCTGCCTCCTGCCCAGCTCTGGGCATTCTGGAGCAGAGTCCTGAGCCCAGCTGCTCCCCAGAGCTGTCCTGCTGTGCTTAGGGCACCTGAGGTGGCCTTGTCCCTGTCCTTGGTGGCACTGTGTCCATGGACAGGGCTGCCAGCTGTGCCAGCCTTGGGGAGCTGCTCAGTGGTGGGGACAAGGCAGGTGACAGAGAATGAAGCTGGTTTGTGTGTTGGGAATTGTGCAGAACTGCTGTGCCAGCCTTGGGTGACTGGTGAGTGGTGGGGACAAGGCAGGTGACAGAGAATGAAGCTAATTTCTGTGTTGGGAACTGTGCAGGCTCTGCTGTGCCAGCCTTGGGTGACTGGTGAGTGATGGAGACACCAGCCAGGTGGCAAACTGAGGGTGAAGCTCATTTCTGTGCTGGGAACTGTGCAGAACTGCTGTGCCAGCTTCCTCCCTCTCTCCTTGCCAGGGTGGCAGAGGGGAGCTGTGCCCAGCCTGTGCCCACCCTGACCTGCCCTCAGTGCCCTCCAGGCTGCCCTGGTGCTTCAGGAGGGGCAGGACAAGGGGCTCCCTGCCCTGCTGGCCCTGCTCCCTGCCCTGGGCACCAGCCTTGCTGCCTGCCCTGCTCCCCTCCTCCTCTTTGATATTCCAGCTCTGGCTCCCAGCTCCTTTCTGACCAGCCCCTGTTTACTTTGCAGAACACAACGTTGCCATGGCAACAGGTTACTTTTCAAAGGGAACATCTTGTCATTATATTTAATCCACTGCAGCTGAGGAGGACTGAAATATTAAGTTGTTGTTGCTATGGATACTGCTTTGTTACAGCAGTTTCTTTTGTGTCACATTTCATATCCAGCGTTGGCTCCTTTTTTCCCTTTCCCATGGAATAAACAAGGGTGCCGTTCCATTCTCATTGTAATTGCCCTCACCAATATGATTTAGCTCCAAATCTGCACTGCATTTTAGTTTCCATAGCAAGAATTTCCCTCTCCGTTTGAAAGCCGTGGCTGTGGGAGCAGCAGGAAGCACAGGGCAGATCCTGTGTCCCTGGGCAGCCTGGGGCTCTGTGCCCTGCTGAAATCCAGAATGGAGCAGCTGAGCCCAGCCCTCAGCTCCTGGGCAGGGGGGCAGCCCCTCGAGGTGGGGATGCTCCCTGGAAATGGGGTTGGTGGTGCAAGGACACACAGAAATATTTCTGTCCCTCATGAGGGGTGGCTGGAGAGCCCCACTGGGTCCCACAGAGGGAGCTGGGGGCACAAGTCCCATCCCAAACTTGGATTTGAACTTTGCAATTACAGGATGGTCCAGCCTCGGTTCTTAAAGGTGTGTTTGTCACACTGGGTGTGGTGCAGCTGAAGAAATTGGGATCTGGGGGATGTTTGGTTCCTCCTGCCTGAGCTGAAACCAGCTCAGGGCTCAGGGTGGGCACAAACCAGCCCAGGAACACTGAGAGCAGGGATGTGCATGGCCCCAAAATGGATTCTGGGAGGGAACCAAGAGCAGCAGCATCTGCTGTTGTGAGCTTCCCCTTCTGACACCTTGTAGTAACCTGGTATTTAATGTATGACTTTGTAAATAGAAAATTGATTTCCTACTTCAGTCATTTCCTTGCATAGCCTGAAAACAAGGAAACAGTGTCAGGTTGTGTTGCAAAAATCTGCATTGGGGGAAGACATGTTGACATGTTCTGGTTGCTTTCTGGGGGCTTTTGGCTCATTTTTGGAGTGGGTTTGTTTCCTGGGGGTGGCACTGTCCCTCAGGTGGAAGGGTAACCTGCCCAGGTTGCTCAGCACACCTGAGCACATCCCCTCCTGTTCTCTCAATGGTGTTTAATTTCTGTTCCTGCTCTGTTTGCACTGGAAATGCAGTGACAAAAAAGAGCATCACCCTGAATTTCATTGATTGCAATTCTTTCTCATTGCTGTTTTTCCTTTGCACCTCAGGAGGCTGAACAGTACCCAAGGTGAAATCAGAGTGGGACCCAGCCACCAGGTAAGGGCTTGGTTTGTGCTCAATACCAGGGATGCTCTGGCCCCTGGGTGTGTGCAGTTGTTTGAAATTGCTGTGCTCAGACATGGGCAGGGATCTTAGATCATCTTTGGGTGTCTCACTTCAGTCCTCCAGCCCTCCTCAGCTCAGTCACTGAGATTTTTCTCTGTCAGATGTTGATATGTTCATGGTTTTCTGTAGTTGGGTTAATTCCTGAGTAAGACTGAGGGAATGTGAGTAACTGCTGGAAGTTAAAGGAGTGCTTTAAGTCATTGGGATTGTTAGAACAGAAACTGAGGGAACTGCTGAGTGAGTTCACACACTGGGAAGCAGAATAAGGTTAAGACTGTGGATGTTCCTGGTATGTTAATTCTAATTTGAGAGAAATCCTTCATAAGCATTGGAAATAATCTGTTCTTAAAGAGTATTAACATCCAGCTTGCAGTGGTTCATAGGGCCAGGTCTGTCCCTGGCAGCTGGGGCCTCTCCTTTTCCTGAGCATTGACTTTGCAGTGTCCAAGTGCTGGAGTTTTGCATCCAAATGATGAATATTCATTCAGACCCTCTTAAAAATCCTGTTTAATAGCTAGTGAAAGTAAATATTTATGGAACCTGATGTCACATTCTTGAGGATGTTTTGCCTTCAGAGGAAAAAAGTCCTTGGCAATTAAACCTGTAGTGTTCTTTTCAGTAGTCATAACAGGAGCACTGTAAATGATACCTTCAAAACAACTTTCATCTCAAATTGTCATCTCATATTTTGGCAGGCATTAGTCACCCTGCTCTGAGGTGTAATTACCACCTGCATTTGTGGATGGGGAAGAAAAAGCAGGAAGAAGGTCCATGGATTTAGAATCCTCTTAATTCTTGCTTGAGACTTCCATTGTCCCTCCCTCATCCTTGGTTCTGCCAAATCATCACTGACGCCCCTCAGAGAGCAGCAGAATGCAGAGCCCGAGCTCCAGCAGGCTCTGGAGCCCCCCTTGTCCCCCAGCTGTGCCAGGACAGGCTCAGAGGGGTTGGGGTGGGAACCCTCAGTGCTCTGATCCCCACAGCAGCAGGGACACGAGAGGAGACTGATGTGCTGAGGGATTGCAGGGCTCTGAGAGCTCACCTCCCTCCTGTGGGTGTGCTCC